AATGCATTGGATTTTACTATACAAAAGATGGTAAGTTTTTTTCTTTTCATATTGTTATTTGGAAAATTGCTACTGTTGTAAAATATAATTTCTTTATATATATATATATATATATATATATACATATATATATATATATATGTATATCTCTCTCGGTCAGTTAAATATAAAAAATCATAGATTTAGTAATATCTCACAAGCGCATTATATTGTTTGGGTGATATAGAAGCATGGAAGCAAATAGTAAACTATTACGCTTTATTATCTTTACAATGAATACTACATACAATATTCATACGATTTCTTGAAAATGTTTTGTTTGATGTATAATACACACTTTATAATTTAAATCGCGCTAAATCTAGAGTAAACAGTTTTCTCAATCACAGTTTCTTCATTTTGTTTGTTGAACTTATATCAAATTCAAATCAATTTTGTGAAAAATGTGTAGTATACAATTACTCTGTATATTTTTGTTCTTTATACGTTGTTTTCCAAATTGTCATTTTATATGTCGGATTGGAACACCACAATTGTGACACATAATGTGATGTGTATTGATAGAAGTAAGAGATTATTGATATAAACATATTTATATTCTTCCCCTTTCTAATACAGAGTTATAAATGTTGTTTTTGTTTTTGATACTGCAAAGATCTGTTGTGTTATAATAAATGTTTGCGTAAGAGTTTTGTTTTAATGTGTATCATTATTTCTTGTTTAAAAAGCAAAATAATTTTGTAGATACGCATTACGCAGATGCTTATATTCTTGGGAGCAATAACCTTAATATTTGTCACTGGAGTTGCTTCTTCCACTGACGAGAATTTATCTCGGACATCGCAGTGTATACAACCGATAAATTATACTATTTCTTTAGAAAAACAAAACACCTTTCTTACCGTTACCTCTACGGTTGTGCTAAACGTGTCATGTGAACAAAAAGATATACGATTACAAATCGGACGGTATTGTTATTTAGAAAATGTGTATGTTGATACTGAAATTCTGTATGACTGTATATCACATTGGGAAATCACTGATTCACAGTCAAATAGTACTAAAAATCGATTCAAAATTGTGCATCTTACTCCCATAAACAAAATCTCTAAAGACGCAAAATCTATATGTAAGGAACCGCACCAACCTGTGAAATCTGGAAAATATGTGATAACTTCGATATATGATTGTACTTTAACGGAAGTTGTCACGGTTGACCCGTACATAAGTCAAACTGAAACGCAAGAGTAAGTGCACATACAAAGATATTATATTACATACTATTAGTTTTATACTTCTGCAATTATTATACTACAATGACAATTATAGACAAAATTTATTTTCACAGAACATTTTTAAAATATTATTAACCAGATATTTTTCCTTTTAAATATTACTTCATACAGTTTTTTAAGTTACATGACATAATACTACTAATTTATAGAATGACGTTTTCATTTACTAATTTTATAACGTCATGTTATAATACATTTAAAAAATAGCTATTTTTATGAAACTCCTTTATTTTCTATTACTAGACTTTTATTCTAGTAGCTTTACATTTTTCTCTTTAAATATGATTAAGGAAGGTTAACTACTAAATGAGCAGTTTATGTAACGTAATATATTTATTATATACTGTACTTATGTATTGCGATAATATTTTATTTTTATTATATAGATTTCTGATTTTATCACGTATTCCAAATGAATGGATTTTTCCATTTTGGGAACATCAAGCAACTAAGGCTATATTTACCGTTCAAATTATACACAAATACAGTGATACAGCTCTTTCGAACATGCCTTATGACTATTGGGGTCCGGTAATAAATGCGTTCCAAACAACATTTTTCACCACACCTCTAATATCTACTCATTTGGTTGCATTTGTTGTTATACCGAATGTATATAACACAACTACAATATCAGGAAATAACGTTACCATTACAAGCAGCTTAGAAATGAGAAATGACACATACTACGCACGAACGTTTCTTATTCATATCTTCATAAGTCTCAGAAACATGTGGGACGATATCATACCACGGTCGCATGTTTCTTACGTGCTACTGCCTTTAACCTCTAATCGGTACGAAAGTATGATAACTCCTGGATTTGTTTTTTTGAGGTGAGATGCATAACTCACGATACAAACTTGAACGTATAAATAACTGTAAAACGTACAAGAACGTTATACTAGCAATACCATTTTTATTGTTATTTACAGTGAAGTTAACAGTATATATAACAGCGAAGTAGATTCAATTATTAAACAAAAAGAAGTAACATGTTTCATAGCACGAAATATGATACAAGAAATGTTCAGTGAGTGGGTAGCTACATTTAATCAGTCGGATTCTTGGTGTATCGAAGGATTTTTAACAGTATATGGAGTTTATATTTGGGACAAGGTTAATATTGTGTACTTTTATTGTAGATAGTTGTGCATAAATATAAAAGTGATAAGTAAAAAAAGGGTATTATATATTCTTTTTAATTAACAAGTGTCATATTAGACATAGTTTGAGACAGTTTCTGTATCAGTAGTACTATTTATACTTGTGTTACTTATATTGAAGATATACGCAGTTTAATATATTATAAAAGCATATAAACATATGGTTATATGAATGTGTAGGAAATAATGTACATATATATTTTCTTGATTATTGTGTTATTACTAATTTTGTTTATTTGTTTTATCTGTTTAATGAAAAATATCATTGCGATTTATTTAAAAACTTTACTCCATTATTATAGTAGATACTTACGCACTATACTTATATAATCGTATAATTATTAAACCTTTTGATAGAGTTTAATGAAGTCAATTGTGGTCCAGACACGACGAAATGTTTTGGATTATGCAGAAGCATTTAGTACATATGATCTTGGAATTCAAGGAAAAACTTGTACAGCTCGAAATTCAACTGTTAGGAAAATGTGGCGAGAAAAGGGTAAGGGAAATAAATTTTTCGAGTACATTTCCTTAATGAATGTTCACAAAATAACAGCACCATGAGATAGTAGTATATATCTCTAGAATGTACTATAAAAAGTGTTAAACTTGTCAGTGGTATCTCTATCATGTATATTGTAGGCAAACAGTTTTAAAATGTGATATAAAGTACAGTTACACACTTTTATGTGGCTTAAAAAATATAATAGTATTTTATGTAGTTATTACTTACTACTACATATTATTTACTATTCATAAATTTGTTACTAAATTCCAAAAACTTTAACACTTTAAACTTTCTTGTAGCATTCGGCATCTTTTATATGCTTAGTCATATCTTTTTTAAAGAAGATTTCTTCTATACTTCTATGTTTAAACGGACCGTAAGCTTATATTATAACACGTAAGTAGTTAGCAATTATTGGAGTACACAGTTGTTTGACAGTTGTTTCTTAAACGATGTTCGCTCTAGTCGTAAAGTTATCACAACAATCAGTAAACCTTTTTTTTTTTTTGAGATTTATGACAAGCTTTACTAACATATTTTTTATTACGTTATTTGTTGTCAGTGACAAAATATCAGATAACATATATAAGGGCGTATCAATTCTCGATAAGTTATGGTACTCGAATTTTGAGGCGTCCTTAAATAAGTCTACTTACTTTCCAAAAGACATAAAAAGAATACTAACTGTATGGACAGCAGAAGTTGGTTATCCTGTGTTACATGTAAAACGAGTCAATGAAAAACAGGTAGCAATATCTGTCATAGACTGTTTTACTGTTGATCACAAAAAGAAGTGCAAACTAAATTGGATACCTGTGACTGTTAAAAAAATACCACAGACAAAAAATACTGTCACGTATAATGATATTTTAACACCAAACAGAAAATATATTCGTCTATCGCTTTTTAGAAAAAATGAGTTTGTCATTGTCGCGGATTCCACTGGTAATGTACTAACATACATGTGAATTATCAAGTTTCTCTTTATTAAACATATAGTGTATTACACTTATTCATTATTTTTGTAGAGTAATTGTTTGTTTTCTTTTGTTTCTCACTATCACTTTTTTTAAACCTTTATGTATTGTAGGATATCGCGTCAATTATGACCGTGAATCTTGGACACACATTGCTTTTTTCTTAAAAACTGTTGATCTGAAGATCACTGATTTATCTGACGTCACTGTAGCACAAATATTAGACGATGCTTTTTATTTTTTGGTGCAAAATACAGAATATAACGACAATTCTACTTCAGATAATAGTGATCTAAACATATATCTAGAAATTGCAAGCAATACATTTTATGCAAACAATTCCTACACAATGTGGTATCCTATATTTTTTGCTCTTGAAAGCATGTCGAAGATTTTTCCGTTCCAAGAAACTGTGGTTACCAGAAACATCAAGGTAAATAGTATTACATTATACCGTAAAGTTCAATAATTGGAAGGTCACCTTGATGGCAAAAGTTATCACCTTGATGGCAAAAGTTTTTTAAGTTATTCGTATAATATATATACAGGGTGTCCCAGAATTGGTTTAACATCTCTCGTAGGCAGATAGAAGGAATAAAACTGAGGTGAAAAGTCCTATACTATTTTGCTAGATTCGCAATAGTTACTGAGATTTTAATTAACAAAGATCCGCGAATAAGC